GGCAGCAACAGGGAGTGCCACATCCTAAAGCGCCTAAACTACTCAAAGTAGCCAATCAAAATGTCCTCAAAGATAGTAAAGAGACCGGTACAGATGAATCAATGAAGGAATTCCCAAAAACTTCTTCTGGGAGATCAAAGTTTGAGCGGGACAGAAGGGATGGAGAAGATCAAGATCAGCCCCTTACCATCCAGTTTGGTACGTTACCTCCTGTCGTGGGCAATAATTACTTACTGGCCAATGAATTCAAGAATAAAGAAAAAGAAGAAGAGAGGGAGGACAACGAAGGAGAAGTTTGTGTGCTGGTATGTGAAGAAGGCCAGACTTCTAGAGAGGCCTACAACGATGAAGAAGACGATGGGATGATAGACATTGAAGAAGAAATCGACCTAGAAGCAGAAGGGAGAAAGCGAGGAGTATCGCGCAATACTCTGTTGAAGCAACTATATCGAGAGGGAGTTCGCGAAGTAGATTTGTTGGGAGAACCATCTGAGCGTCCTTTCAATTTCTACGTACTGTACGGGACATCCAAAAGGAAGAAGAGAGTACCTCGCTCTGAAAAGTATGGGTCACCTCTAAGAATAATGCCCCCTCCCACAGGTTGGGTAACTGATGAGGAAGCATTAGAAAAAAGTAGGAAGGAAGTTCAGGAGACAGAGGATCAGCGTGATATACTGCACATCGACTTATCACAGGGGGATAATTCGACAGAAAATAAGTAGGAAGTAGAAATAGAGGCTGTCGAAAAGGTTATTTTTAAATGGCCAGCCATGAAATTGACTAAACACTTGAGGCCGTTGTACATTAAAGCTCTAGTTAACGGTATCCCAGTGGCAAAAGTGCTTGTCGACAATGGAGCAGCTATAAACACCATTCCATTTAGGATGATGAGTAAGTTCGCAAAGACAGAGAGTGACATAATTCCTACAGAAGTCATCCTCACGGACTTCAATGGAGGAGCAACTTCAGCTAAGGGAGTTATGCCATTGGACATAACTATAGGGACGACTACTAGGACCACTGTCTTCTTTGTAATAGATGGTCATACTAGTTACAATGTGCTACTAGGAAGAGATTGGATACACGGAAGTCACTGTATACCCTCATCGCTCCATCAATGCCTGATCTTTTGGAATAACAAAGGCGAAGCAGAGGTGGTACAGGCCGATCATAGGCCTTTTGTCGTAGAAGCAAACTCGGTGGAAAAGTTCATGTACGAAGAAAACTATGGACCCGTCAGGGTAGTACAAGATGGGGAAGAAACTCAAGTTGTCGCGCAAAGCGAAGAGTCATTCTCAGTGGATGCACTCACTGAAATGTTCAAACAGATGAGGCCAAATATAGTGGCCCTAGAAGAGCCAGTAATTGGCAAAAGAATAATCAAGGAGTCTTGAATGGATTCTAAGTTACAAAAGCAAATGGCCGACATTCGGGCCTTCAAAACCAGACTAATAGCTTTCAATAAGGAATGCAATGACAAGGCGAAGGAAGGGACAGCCCTAAAAGCGCTGAAGGACAAGTTGGCAGTATTCGAGTTAGAACAAAGCATTGGCCAAGAAGTCAACAAGGTGGACTGTTTAGAAGAAGAAGTACTTACAAGGGAACTGGACGACGAAGTAATGCGGATCGTCAAACCTGGATACGCTCAAGCACAAGACCCTCTGATCAAAGTAAATA